GGGAACAGCAGCTGGGAGCAGCTCCAGGAGCTCCTGCGTGGCTCTGCAGTGACATTTGGACTGATGGCAGCTCCCTCTGGCCCAGGCAAGGGATGGGGATCAGCAGCCAAACTCTGGCAGAGCCAGACCCAGCCAGGGAGCCCAGGCTGGATCCGGGGCTCCCACAGCCCATCGCTCCTTCCTGAGACACCAACACCACTCAAAGGACTTTTTGGTGCACAGGAAGCACACTCATAATTTGGGCACCACTGTGTTCCCAAGAGAGAGTATGTATATACATATATATATATATAAGTATAAGGAATAATGCTGAAAGGATTTTCCCCTTTTTTGTGTGCTTACTTTGGAAGACTGAGGTTTGTTGTTTTTTTTTTTTGGCTTGCCCACCATATATTTTTATAAAATGCTTTATTCCTATTTCCCTGAGGTATAATTGGCTTTTTCTCGATAAGCTAAAAAAAGGAATTTAGAACACCTCTTCAGCATTCACTTGTTTAAAAGCAAACAATACCCCAACACTTAAAACCAAGGGTGCACTTTTAAAAGCAAGGCAAGGCAGTAACTTGTGCTTTAAAAAGCCCCACAAGTTTTATGAAGCTATTTTACACAGCTCCGGAGTTTCAGGAGGGAAGGAAAAACCACTCAGTCAAACCCAGAATATATTTTTATAGCCACAAAATTTCTAGAATGAGGCTATAGATCTTGTGTTAATACGGGGAGCCTTCAGAAATCCACACCCCCCCCTTGCCAGCACAAACAACACGCAGCTCTAGAGATGGATGTCATCTGATATTTAAAAAGAAAAAATACATAACTCCCAGGGAGGCAGGGCTGGCTCTTCTCCCAGATGGATTCTCGTTTCAACAACATCAAGAACATGACAGATGTGCTTCTTTCTAATTGTTTGTGTTTGTGGTTTATCTCTGTGATACATCAGGAGGAATCTCTCTGATGTGTTCCCTCCTGGAAGCTTTTTTTGGTGATTAATGCTCTCCAGAGGGCTGTGAGCCTGCTCAGTGCTGCTGAGGGGGCTGGACCCCATCCTGGTTCCTCCTTTGGGATCCCAGAGAGCCAAGACCTCCCACTCTCCCCCTGCAGGACCTGCAGCCCCCCAAGAGCCCCTCGCTCTTCTCTTGACTCCTGTCCCACGCTGTGACCAGACACAGGGAACCAGAAGCACCTGCACACCCTTGGGCTTGTCCTCATGGACGTGCAGGTGTTGGGGCCATCTGGATGTGCCTCTGTTGTGTCCTTACCCCAGAAATCCACTCTGCAGGCAATCCCAGGCAGGCATCTCCTTTTTCTGCCTGTATCTGACACTCCTGCTGATCACAGAAATCATGGAATGGCTGGGTTGGAGGGGACCTTAAAGATCCTCCAGTTCCGCCCCTTGCCATGGGCAGGGACACTTTCCACTAGCCCAGGTTGCCCCAAGCCCCACCCAACCCTGGACACTTCCAGGGATGGGGCAGCCACAGCTTCTCCAGGCAACCTGTGCCAGGGCCTGCACTGCATGTTAAAAGAAATATACAAATATAAAGTGACCAAACAGCCTAGAAAGAAATGTCTTCCAGACCTGGAAAGCCTCCTCCTTCTCCTGTACAGCTAATTTATTGCCCCCCAAATGCAGACCCGTGGGCACCTGAATATATTCTTTATTTTTTAATATAGTTTTTCTGTATGGGTTCAGCTATGAAATGATTTTTTTCTCTCATCTGCACTAATTTTCTGGATTTCAAGGCTGCAGTTGTTTATTTGCCATCCCTGAGACCACCTAGGACGTTTAGGACTCTCAGTCCCTTCAGATGTTTGCTCTTCAGCTGCTGTGGGTTCACCAAGTGTCCTCCCCAAGCCCCAGAACAGAGAAGCTTTTGGTGCCAGATGTTCCCTGATGTAACTCATGTATCCGTGACCTTTCCAGGCTCAATTCATCACCAATCAATCAGCCTCACGCAAAGCTCTTTCCACACAAAGGTCTCCTTTCTCCTGTGTTTCCAGGAGTGGCACCGGGCAGCGTCAGGAATGTTCGCAGCAGGAATGACCAGCGAGCAGATGATCCCGCCGATGATCTGTGCCAACGCGGAAATACAGGGAAATACAACCCCTCCCTCGCTGCTCGAGATGGAAACGTCAATAACCTTTCGGCTGTAATTTGTGGGACTTGGAAAAACAGTTCCAGCGCGGCGATTCTTGGAAAATCCGAGCTCCCGTTGAGCAGCGAGTGCTGCGGACACGCGGGGGAGCTGCAGCCACGCGAACGAGGGAGCAGATCCCACCCACCCGTGTTCCACACGCCGGATTCCCGGGGCTCGGAGCGGTTTGGGGCTGCAAAACTGGATTGGTTTGGATTTCAAACGGTGATTGAGCCCGAAGTCAACACAGAAGTGCAGGTGGTGGGGACGGTCTGCATGTGCGAGCATCGAGCCCTCACTGACCATCACACCCGATGTGGATCTTTGTCCCTACCCGCTTTTCCCTCAAAGCCCTTTTTTTCCGGGAAGATGAGATGCTGTAGCAGTTTACAGCCAGCTTACAGGTCTCCCTGGCAGGTTGCACGTCCTGCTCTCGCAGGATGTGGTGAGTTAAGTCAGCTTTTGCTTTGTCCAACTTCCTTAATCTGCAGCACCCCATGAGCCCCCTTCCCCTTTTCTGAGCAACCCTCCTGCAGACAGCCCATCCATCTCCCTCTGCCAGCAGCCACCTCCTCCCTTGGTTCTACCCGGACTTCCCAGAGCATCCCCCTCCTCTTACACCCTCTCCAGCCCATCCTTCCTTCTCCAAGGGCTTCACTCAGCACCCTCGTGTCCTATGAGGGTGTTTAGGCAGTGAAGAGAAGCCTGTGACGGGAGCTATCACCATTTTTCAGGTATATGATTAAAGGATGTCTGCCCTAAAACCATATTTCAAGGACAAAAGAAGAGACAACAGGTGAAAAGCAGAGAGCCAGGAGAAGCCCAGGGTGAGAGAAAGGTAATTACAATTACAGGTCTTAATATACCAACTGCTCGTGGCAGTGCCACAAGGGCACTTCCAGGCTGGCATGGCTCAGGAGAGGTAACCCATGTGCATTTTTCCCCCCTGGGCTCTGAGATAGCGACACCAGAGGCGCTGCAAAACTTCCAGTATTTATTGAGGCTGGGAAATAATGCTCAGACAGCCTGTCTAGACAAAACCATCCTCTGAACATCCTAGACACGAGACTGCAATGGTTAGAGGTGGCATTGTCTCTACGTAAAGTCCTGTCACCATGTGACACCTTTTTGCAGTGGATTTGGACACTGCTGGTTTCGTGGCATGTGTCACAGGCCCTGTGCTGCAGCTCCATGTGTTCCCAGCGCTTCCCCACTGTCACACTCACACAATCACAGAATCAACGAGGTTGGAAAAGATCTCTGAGGTCATCAAGTCCAACCTATGACCACACACGACCTTGTCAACTAGACCAGAGCACTGAGGGCCACATCCAGTCTTTCCTTAAAAGCTTCCAGCGACAGTGACTCCATCACCACCCTTCCAACATCTAATCACCCTTTCTGTGAGGAAATTCTTCCTAATATCCAACCTAAACGTCCCCCGGCACAGCTTAAGACAGTCCCAGCAGTGGGAAAAGCCATTAAAAACTGTTTTCAGCTCATCAGAACTGAGCACGATAGCGGTGCCGAGTGAGCACATCCCGTGGAAGGTCAGGGGTGGAATGATTTGCCACGTTCTCCACAGAAAGGGTCAGTTCTCATTCTGGCTTAGCAGAGTGCTGGGTAAGCAGCTCCGGCAGCGAAAATCCTGCTGCCCTCAACAGTGTCGGTGACCCCACTCCAGCTGAGGCATCCATGGGCAACATTCCTTCCAGCAACCGTTTCCAGCGCATTCAGGGCTCTTTCCTCAGCTGACAGCAGGTAGATAAATCTAAACACTGATTTTTCCACAGCACCTCCATGCTGGGGAGTCGCTCGGCGCTTGTGAAAGCTCATCAGAGGGAAGCTGTGACAGGCTGTAAGGGATGTGCCCAGGTGAGTCACGCCGCGGTGTAATGGTCCTTCCCAAAGAAAACGTAAGTATTATAAACACCCTCAGGCAAACCATCAGTCTCGAGAGTGAGGCCAACTTCGAGCTGGGCTACAATGAAGGGCAGGACCAGGAGGAGTGAGGGGAGCAGGACCCAGAGCTGCTGCGAGGGGAATGGGACTGTCCCAGGAACCATGAGGGGAACAGGGCTCAGAAAAACTATGAGGGGAGTGGGATTGTCCTGAGAACCATGAGGGGAGCACAGCTCAGAACTGCTGTGAGGGGAGTGGGACTGGGCAGCATGAAGGGCTCTGGCCTGCCCTGGGCACTGACAGGCACTGTTGAAATGGGTACTGCGAGGGGCTGTGAGGGGACACTGGTCTGCCATAGGCACCACGAGGGACTCTGAAACGCACCGCCCTTGCACGGGCACCATGAGGGGCTGAGGGGCACTGGTCTGTTACGGGCACCATGAAGGGCTGTGAGGGGCTCTGGTATGCCACGGGCTCCCTCAGGGGGCACACTCCTGCCCGGATCCCCCGCCAGCTCAGGCACCGCCGCTCTCCCAAGCAGGAGCTCTGCGGGGCTCCTTTCGATGAGTTTTTATACACCCCATTCCCGCCGCCCGGGCCCTGTTCCCGGGTCCCCGCCCGGCCCGTCGCCTCAGCGCGGGGGCGGTGGCTCGGGCGGTGCCCCGGCCCCGCCCGGGCGGCTCCACCCCGCCGCGGCGAAGTGACGCGCAATCACGGCCCCGCTCTCCCGCGAACAAAAGGGACTTTCACCCTCCCCCCGCCCTCCGCGCCCCGCCCACTCCATCTGATTGGCTGTCGCCGCCGCGCCCCGCCTTCTCCCCGCCTTCCTCACGGCGGATTGCCCTAGGGCGCGGCGGCCGCGGCGCTGATTGGCGGGAACGCCGTCAATCAAGGAGGGGCGGGGCAAAGGGGCGGGCGCGGGGCCGAGGGAGCGGAGGCGGCGCGGCGGGCGGCGGCCGGCAGTGGCGGCGCGGGGCAGGTCGGTGCGGGGCAGGGCAGGTCGGTGCGGGGGCAAAGCGGGTCCCGCCTCGGGCTCAAACGCTCGGTCCCGCTCGGTCCGGCCCGTCCTGGCGCGGCGCTGCGGCTGCGGGCGGGCAGCGCAGGTCCGGGGCGGCCGCGGGCTGAGAGAGGGGCGGTGCGGGGCCGCTGCGGGCGGGGCGGCCCGCGGCGCGGCTTGGCGGTACCGGGGCGCGGAGGCCGCGGGGAGAGCGGGGGGGCGTTCCCGGGAGCTGGGCCGGGCTGGCGGCGGCGGGGTGGGGTTGTTGTCCCTCCCGGGACCCGCGTGCCGCCCCCGGTGCCGGGGAGCTCGGGGGGCTCCGGGCGGCGGCGGGCTCGGGCTCCGGGGCGGCGTTTCCCTTTGTTTCGGTTGCACCGGCCCGGTTGTGCAGCTCGGGAGGCACCGAGCCGCCCCCTCCCGGGGTGCCGGTGCCCGCGATGTGCCGCTGGAGTTGCCCCGTGTCCCGGGGTGACCCTCGTCCCGTCCCGGTGCCGGGGTCACCACCGATCGTGTGGCAGGAGGGGACGAGGCTCCCCCCGGGCTGGGGGGGCTGAAGGTCAGCGATGGTTTTGATTCTCTTTCAAGGAGCTGCACGGGGGCTGTTCAAGGACTCGCACAAAGCACACGCTCAAAATTTTGCTGATTTGCTTCTTTTCCCAGTAGTACTTAAAAAAATAACAGTGCGAGGATGTTTTTTGGGGGGTAGATGTCCTTTCTCCTGTGAGATAGACACATAAACCCTTCTCATTTTAACCTAATCCTCCACAGTTGTGATGCAACGCCAGGTAGCACCGTGGATGCACAATTATAAAGTGCATCCTTGGCTTTTTTTTTTTTCCTATTACATAAACATATCGTGTAATTATTGTTACGACTCGAACATCACGCTACACACGCAGCAGCAGTTCGGGGAACTTGTCTATCAGGAGTTCCCAAACTAGTCATTTGGGTTCTCCTGGGAATGCGATTACACGACTGCCCGTGCTGGCTCCTGGAAAATATCAGCTCTTCTTCGGGGACAGGCAAGAGAAAAGGAAGCTGATTCGGGGTTGTGGACATAGAGGGAGGCATTGTTGCGTTGGCACAGCTTTGGAAATACCCTGTTTCGGAGGAAAAAGGAACAACAAGCTTTGTTCTTCATTATATTCTTCTAAGTGGAAGAGTTTTGAGCCAAGGGCTTGCAGAGGATCTTGAAGCTTCCACCTGACAAACTCCCCTCTCTGTGCCTCGGGCTGATCTTTGATTGCTGCCCTCTGCCTCCAACCTTTGCTGCAAGTGGGTGGGTGAAGTTCCCCTGTGCTGGCAACATTCTTTCGCTTGGTTCGTGCTCGTATGTGTGTGAGACAAGTGAAATGGAACCTGGACTGGTTTCATAATCACCTCGCCGTGATTCAGGGCGAGGAGGAGCTGCCACGCTCTGGAAGCTTATCTGTTTTGTTCCTCAAGTGGCACATGCCAAAGATAACTCCCCCTGGTTTGTTGGCTTGGGTGGTTGTACGTACATTTCAACTGCTCTCGATGGTTATTTTCAGTTAAATACTGGGAAATAACTTTCTTAGAAGAGTTTTATCTCCACTCACGCTCTGCTGGGGAGACTCTGATGGTCCATAGCTGAGAGGAAGCTCACCTTTAGGCAAGCAATAAGTAATTATCTTTGTTTGTGCTCTAAACTCGGGCTTATTGTCCAAAAATGGTGCTATATCTCAGGCCCAGGGAAAATATTTATACCATCAGACTAAATAATGAGGTCCTTGTGGTTTGCTCTCTGATTCCACTCAGCCTGTTTCCCTGGATGGGAAGGGGTAATGTGCCCTGGGAATTGCTAGATCTTGTTTCTGATGCTGGGAAACCCTATCTCCTGGTTAAAGGTTTGGAAACAGAGGGTCAGGTTCCCCAGCTGAGGCACCCAGATCCCTTTGGCAGAAGGGGGCTGTTTGCAAGGGGGAGAACTGGGTGATTGAATAGGATTGGTGTGATCTTTTGTTAAAAAGTGGGAAGAGGGAAGGCACAGGGATGTGTAGCCTGAAAGCAGCCTTGGAATGGTCAGCTCAGGAGCCTGTGATGCTGAAGGGCTGGGAATGGATTTGGATTTAGATTTGGACAGGGGGGGGAGGAGCTCAAATATGTGCTTATTAGCTGTTTGATCCAGAGGTGCTTCTTGTTCTTGTAAAATAACAGCTTAGAATGAACAGAACTTTTTTCTCCCCCCCAAGTTTTCAGCTCCCTGGGGTCGAGTGGCCCTGAAAGGGAACGCTTGGGGTTATGATCCATTCAGCATAACAGGAATCTGCCAGGTGGGTTCTAGAAGCTCCCTGTGGATCCCTGCAGAATACAGATGCATTTTAATGGTTTTTTTTAGGGCAGTGACCTTATTTGTAGCCTCTGCTGCCAGTCTGTCCCCTCAGTGTGGGGCAACTGATGCCAACAGAGCAGTTAGAGGTCCAAAATCAGCAGGTTACACACAAGGAAGCTGAGGCTGCACCACTTCTATACCTTTAATGTTACCTCTTGTTGTTGTATAAACGATTGCCGCTGCAAACTGGCTCCTGCTCTTTATTTCTCTTGAGTATTTTTACCTGTATATTTTAGGCCAGGGCTTGTTTATGTTATTAAGCTGATTAAAGACTACAGAGGCATGGTAAGAATAGCAGGGCTTATTCCTATAACACTGGGAAGTACAAGTCACAATGGGAGTATTTAGGATATAGAGTAGAAATTATTACTGCCCAGACTAATAGCTTTTAAATGCCAAACTGCAGCTGGTAGCTGCCCCTGCTGTAAGAGTGAGCTGCTTGGTAGCTCATGGAGAGATGCAGCTGCACATTTCTGTGTCCTCCCTTTTTGAGGGAAAAGCCTGAATAGAGTCACGTTGGAAGTCCATGTTGGACACTTGCTGTCCTGGGGTGACAGAATTAGATGATACGTTTTGTTCCGAGATCTCAAAGGAAACTTCTCCTTTTTAGTTCTGGTTTGTAATGCCAGAAAACCAATATAACTTGGGGAGTATCTGGCAGAAAAAGTTATTTCCCCTCAGTACTTATTCAGTCTTAGCACCTGTGAATTTAGCCCGAGCAAGGACTGAGGTGCCTCTCCTGAGCAGATGTTTGGATATTCCACATTTAAAAGCTGCCCAGGGAAGTGGTGCAGCTCAGACTTAAGCATAGTAAATATTAAAGGCTAAAAACAAGCCCTCTCTCCTCACCCTGTATGGCTGCTTAGTTACATTTTAGCATTAATTTGCTGCTTCTGTTGCATTCTCTCCCTTTTTAAGAGAAACAAGTTGTAAATCACACTCTTTCCCTGTGCTCTCAGCTAGGCAGGATCCTCGTGGTGACAGAACTCTCCAGCCATTCCTGAAGCTGATGGTCATTCCCATCCTGGCCCACTCAAGGTGTGTTGGCTGCTCAGAAGGTGTAACTCTTGCTAAAGAGTGACCAGCACTGTCCTGGCCCACCCAAGTGTGATTTGAGTCAATAGAGCGAGTTTCCGAAGTGACACCCTTGTGTCAGCTCCAGTCAGGCTTTTTTAACATGATGACAGATTGAACAGGTTTTCCAAACACTCCACTCGTGGGTTTTCCTCTGGAAAGTGTGGATGCAATGCTGACAGATCCACAGTGTCCAGTTAGGTTGGGTTTGGAACAGCCAGTCGTGGGCACTCCCACTGATGCTTCCTGAGCAGCCCGTGGCAGTGGGAGGGTGAGCCAGAAGAGTCTGAGAGTGAGAAATGTTGCTGCTTTATGGAATTTCATGTAAAACACTGCAGGAAGCGTGTGATGACAGCCTTCCCCGCTTAGCAGAGGGGCAGGGAGCACATTTCTGATTTCTCTTGCTGTATGAAGCTGCTTGCTCCTCTCTGAGCAGAACTTTCTGTTCCCAGTGACTGGAAAACTGCTCTGGCACAAACAAGACAGAACTTGCTTTTGTGTATAACTCTCCAAGGCACAGTTATGCAAATCAGTTGTAAAGGAGCAGTGACTTCAGACAAATTAGGCTTCAGCTGAACGTTTTAGCTGGATAGGCTTCTCCAGTAAAGGCCAGTTTAACCCTTTATCACTTGCCACTGGAGTTTGAAGTCTCTGAGAAGCTTCTTGGTACTGTAGCATTTTCTTACTGACATGAAGTTTGGTGAAACCTGGACTCAGAAAAGTGCATTTGACGGTTGTGCAAAGCACAAGACTGTCTCAATGGATATATCTGCATTACAGACAAGGATTTAGTCTTGCAATTATTTCCATTTTTAACAAAATAATGTAATGAAAAGACTTATTACTGGCCAGCGTTAAGTGTAGCAGCAAAGATGCAAGGGAATAAAAAGCTTCTTTAAGTGCAGTTCAGATGATGGATCTCTGTTCTTATGTAGGCAGTAAAATTGTATTTAATAAATGATGGTGATAGTGAAACAGTTGGAAATAGTGGTAATTAAATGTGTATTTTCCGTGGCATTGATTTTTGTAAAGTGGTTTGGGCCTGTTCCATTAGGAATGGATAATGGCATTCCTAGGAAACATATCTCAGCACTGCAATATTCCCTTCACCATGGAGCTTGTGTGGGTGGCCCAGCTTGGCCTTCATTCATCACAGCTCCTCAGTGATGTTTGCAGCTGCCTGATCCAGATGTGTCATTTACAGCTTTTAAATATCCATGTTTTTCCCCCCCCTTTCCTGTTAACTTTGGCTACTTCTTGGTGAATGTTATCCTGTCATTTTAGCCTGCACACTCTGCCCTCACCATCTGGGTGTGCATATGTTCGTGTCCCCTGGGAAAAGGTGGCAATGCATCTTCTACAACTGGTCTTGGAAGCTGGAGAGAAAATGATCCCCTTGTTTATTGTTCCCTTCCCCCCCTCAGGGCAATTTGCAATCCAAAATCTGGAAGCTGAAGTTAAATGGAGATTACATGTCACAGCTTAGAATACTGATTTTAATGTCCAAAGAAACACCTAAACTAAACTCTGTTCCATTTTTTTTTCCAGGTTTTCAGGATGAATCTGGAAAAACTCAGCAAACCAGAACTACTGACACTCTTTAGCATTCTAGAGGGAGAATTAGAAGCAAGAGATCTTGTCATAGAGGCCTTAAAGGTATGTTTGTAAGTACCAGGATAAGAGGCAAAAATGACATCAGTTCTGCTGTTTTAAGTTCTGCAGAGCACTTGTATCCAGGGTGAAATTGGGAGGCAAAGACTTATTACTGGCTCAGAATCCCATGTTAATATCAGCAGGATTACATAATAAATGCTGTATTATCACCTGTGCCTTGGAATTAATTTTGGGAAGCTGCTGCAAGGAGCATTTCAGTGTTGAAACGCAGAGTTACCTGCATGTTTCCATCCTTCCTCATAAAAGAACCACGTGTTTCTGCTGTGCAGAAGCTGTCTCAGAATTCCTTTGTTGGTTTTGTTCTCCTTTAGCAAGGGAAGGGCTGCTTAAAGCAGGAACTCTGCTCACCAGGAGGGCTCCCAGATTAGTCTTTTAGTGAGAATAACAGAGTGAAAAGCACCCGTGGCTTTGTATTGACTGAGCCACCATAAGCTGGCACTGCTGAGCCCCACACTTATTCTTTCCCTTTGCTGGCACAAGCATCAGTGTAGCCTTCCAGTGAGGCAGAAACCAGCTAAAACTGCTGAAAAAAAAAGTCAAATTTAAGCCACATCAGTGCAGGTGATGTGGTGGTGGTGGTGTGAGCACACGTGATGGGACAAGGGACAGTGGTGCTGGAGCCTCTTCTTGCAGGGGTTGTTTGTGGTGCAGGAAAACTGGCTGAAGTGGTGTGGTCTGTGGTACTCTCTGGCCAGTTTGTTGTGTTGATATTAAGCCTGGAAAATTTTAAAAATATATGTGTAATACTGCTAGGAAACCTGGTTGGCACTCAGCCTCAGTAAGGTGGAAAAAACCCCAGTGCTATAAATGATGGAAGGGGTCAATTTTTGAAGCAATGAGTTGTGGCAGGGTTGAATATTGAAGGCTTTTCCAAGCTGAGCTGTCACTGCTCATAATGTTTAAAATTCCCAGCTATTTCAAAAGAGGAATGGCAGCTTGCAGGCCTGGGAGCTGCAGGGCTTGGTTTTCCAGCAAAAGCTTCTGTAGCTTGATTCCAAACACCTTTTGGGGGAGTAGAGGGGTGTCCTCTGCTTATGTTTGTTGTTAATTGTTTTTGCATTTAAATAATATTTTCGTTTTGGAGGTATATCTTCACCCTCTCAAAACTGTGGATCAGGTGGAAAGGTTTACCTCCTGTTTTGAAAGAGATTTCTTTCTCCTCTGTCCTGGGATCTGTTTTCTCATTCTGTGTGGTCAGAATTTGTTACCCAAACAAGCCTCAATTTAATATTTCAGTGTGAAATGCGTGTAATGGAGCACAGGGAAGGAATGCAGCAGCTCCATTCCAGAGTCTTTTTACTGCCTCCCTTCCAGTGTAAAGCAATTATCTCTTCTGTTGAAATTTAACCTGCAGTTCCCTCTCGTGTGAGGACATTAATACAGTCAGAATACCCTTTGACATAATTTGTCGAGTCCTCATAACTGAGACGAAATTAAATGAAATTGTAACCTATGCTTGATAATTATGGAGTATAAAATACCAAGCTAATCAAAGGTTAGTGCTGTTTTCCCCTTCTTCTGTCAGGGATATGCTGCAGGGTTTCATCTGGAGACTGTGAGGAAAGCTGGAGGTGGGAGGAAAGGGCAGGGAAAGCTTCGAGTCAGAACTGGCTCTTGCTGCCTCCTGAGCATGAAAATTGCAACCCCTGAAAACTGGCCAGTGCCTGCAGCAGTGGGAGATGTTGCAGATCTCCAGCTGTGCAGCTCCTCACATCCAAAAGCCCGTTCCCAGGGATGCTGCAGCCCAAGCCTGGCTTCCTGCTGGCAGGAGCCCACGCTGCCCTTTCCATACGTGGAAGGAAAAGTCGTGTAACTGCTTAATCTGGTGGCTGGGCAGAGGTTCAGCAGCAGAGAACTCCTAGCTTTGCTTTGTCCACTTATTTGGAATATAGAGCCAGAGAAATTCTGGGGTTTGCTGTGTTTTTCTCCTTGTTTGCTGATAGTAACTGTGGTAACAGCTTTACCGAGCCTTCCTGGCTGGAGACTTTGATTGTGTGTGACTAATTAAAGGAAACCTTGCTAATCTGTTTACTCACGTTTTGATACATTTAAGTGCTGCCCAGAAGAAAAGAAAAACCTTTTAAGACCGAATTAAAGATTGAAACTCTGAGAGCATTTAGTTTAACTTGCATATATTGGACAAATTTGGCTGTAATTTGCCCTGAGAGGGGTTGGAACACCCAGGGCTGGGGAAGGAATTGTCTGACTGTGGTCTCACAGCTCTCTCTGTTCCCAAAGTGTTGTGGACTTTATATCCTGCCTCAGCTGCCAGATTTCTTTGCAGGAGTGATAGTTTTATGGGAAGTGCAGGTATATGTTGGGGAAAAAGGTGGAGTTCAAACCTCTGAACTTTATTAGGGGATTACACGCTCCTAAATCATGCCGGTGATTTTCCCCAGCAGTTACATTAAACACATCAGTGTCAGTGGTTAAAAATCAGAATTTTATCTGCCTATTTAATTCCCACATAGTAGCAAAAATGCATTTCCCTTCCTGGGCTGATTTAACTTCTAGTTCAGATTTAAGTGCTTCTGAACTCTGGACGTTTGAGGCAAATCCTTTGCTACATAACAGGAAAGGACAAGAACTTGCAGGGGAAAAGCCCCTCCATTTGTAAACTTGTAATTTGGCTGTAACCCAGTCTGCAATAATTGATCCTCCTGCACGCTCAGAGACAAACATTTTGCATCTGGCATTTAGCAGAGGGAATCCATGCATGCAGATGACAAAGCTTAAAATAGTTTCCCTCTCTCCCCTGGTCTCAGGCCCTTGTTGGTTGGCACTGGCCCTGCTGCCCTCTGGCTCAGGCTGGAGCTGCTGAGCTGGGGGTTCCAGAGCCCACTTGTGCTCCTTTGCTTTCCTCCCTGCCCAAATCTTTACTCATTATTCCTTGCTGCCTTCTCTGGGGACATCTCTTCACACCCCACCTGGAGCCAGCAGCTCTCCATGTGCTGGGGTGGAATTTTAAACTTCTGGGATGTATTTGCTGCTCCCAGAGCAGTTGTTAGATCACCTCTAACTGATGCTTCCAGCATAGCAGGAATTCCCCTCCCTGACTTGTGGCCTTGTTTTTCCTGTAGTTTATTTTTTTCCCTGTGTATTGGGGTGCTGGGCATTGTAATAAGGACAGTCATCTCTCCCTGTGAACCTGGTCTTGCCTTTTAATGTCCATTTAAAATTGTAATATTGCTTCAATTTCAACAGTTATTTATTCATTTATATTGAATAAAATAAAATATGTTGAATATGTATATTATATATATTCAATATATATTATATATATTTCATATATTTTCTATATATTTCAATATATTAATATATTCAATTAATTATTATATTCAGATATTCATATATATTGAATATAGATTATAGTTGAATCTTATTAATATATATTTCAATGTATATATATATATATTTCAATATATATTATATATTTCAATACTATATAATTAGTTCAATATATATTATATATATTTCAAATATATATTACTATACTGAATAGTATATATATACTGAATTATAATTATATACTGATGTATATAATTATATTAATATAATTATATATATGTTCAATATATAAAATATATTGAAAAAATAAAAATATTATTATTCAATTATACTCATATAAAGTGAACAAGTTTACTGTGTTCAAAATACCCTTTCCCAGTGCTTCAGTTTGCTTCCTCTATTTTAAAATCTCTTTGGAGAAAAGAAAAAAACCCTTTTTTTTTCTTTTTTTTTGCCTGCAAGTAGCTTCCTGTCCACTACATAAATCTCAGTGTTGGAACAGACCTTAAGTCTCACTTCTTATTGTGCTCCTTTTCCTGTAGCTATAATTGTGTTTATATCATCCAAAAAACCCCAGATGCTGTCAGAGAGTTGCATAACACCAAGAGTTAGGCTCTGAGTCCTTATTGCTGCGTGGAAAGGATTGCAGGAACCACAGGTTCATCTTCTGAAATAGCACACCACGACTGGAAACAATTCAATATTTAAATGGGTCTCTAGTGCTGTGTTGGAGCACTTTGTTCCCTGCCCCCCCCTGCTCTTTAAAGAGAATTTTCCATACATTAGAACTGAAGTTCTGTTTGCTTTCAGAAAACGGGAAACAGCTTTCTGGCTTTTTTCTTTTATGTTAATGAGGCCTCAGGCAATTTACACTGGGATAGAAACTATTTTGTGTTAATGACTGGGAGCTGGTGTTCATCTCTTTGCTCCTGAGTTCAGTGAGTCACTCTGAAGCAATATTAATGCACTGCAAAATTAAGTGTGCCTTGGTCAGTGGATTTAGAAACTAAGTTTACAGAGCAGTTTCAAAACCTGAAACCTACCTCTTGTTTAAATAGAAAAGCTCAGTAATACAAAACCTCGCTGCAGATGCTGCTAAATCTTTTACAGATGGGGCAAATTGGGCTTTTGCATCACTTGGAAAGCAGCTTCCCTGGAGCAGCGTTCCCAGGGGTGCTGTCCTGCTGGAATGCAGCCCTTCCTCACAGCTTTGCTTGCAGCTTCGGGGAGTTTTTTGTTTATTCCTTGCTTGAAGCAGCACACTTTGCCAGGATCTTTCAAAAAAAACCCTGATTTTCTTCACCTCCTCGGTGCCCAGGGAGGTGCAGGAGAAGGGAGCAGAGAGGTGTGGGAATGGTTCCCACTCTGGAATGGCTCCTGCTCGGAATTTCAGCTCTCGGGGTGTCGTTGGGCTCCCTGGTTCAGGGGTGACCAAGGTGCAGTTCCTGAGCACGGTGCCATCCCTGCACCAGCTGGGAGCTGGGCACAGCCAGGCTTTACACACTGCACCAGAAGCTCCCAGAGAAAGAAATTGCAATTTTATGCTCTTTTGACATTTCCTAAGGAAACTCCACGTCTTCTCCAAAGCTGATAACAGGCCCTACATGTGTTCCAAGTGGGCAGCTCTCGTTTATCTGGTTTGTCCACTTGATATAATAATGGCAATTAAGACAGAAGCTGCATTGGAGCAGTTT